TGGACTGGATGTGACCCCCGAGGTCCCTTCCACCCGCGCTGTCTGTGAGTCTGTAGCTGTACCGTCTGGCAGGGCCCCGGGAGCCCGGCGCTCAGGTGGGCTGTGCAGGGGCTGAACCAGGCCAGGAGCTGGACTCCCCGTTTGCATCTGAGCACTCACCCCCCCTTTCCCTGCAGCTGTCCGGGCAGGGGCTTCACCTCAACCGCAGCCCAGCCAAGAGCTTTTCTGAGGAAAGGAACATTTTTCAAGGAAAAACACCGTAGAGTCACAGCGCGGCTGAGCCGGCCGGGCTTTCCGGTCACATCCAGCCCAGCACCCAGCACCCAGCAAGGTCATCCCCATCTGAACGAAGCTCGACAAGGGTTTGCCTCACCCAGTGATTCTCAACCGGGTGGACGCACCTGCGCACGATTCAGACGACAACCCCCGAGAGTTCAGCTCGAAATCCAGAGCACCAAGCACGCTCGGGCCTGCCGGGGTCCGGTGGGCTCTTTGCAAGCGCAGGCCTCTGAGATTTTTGCACAGTCAGCATGAAACAATGAAAACAAAAATCCAAAAGAAACGTTGCTTCCGTTCATTTAGTTGGAAAAAGACTCCAACAAGCGTTTTCCAAAGATATCAAAATCCACCAGCTTCGCTGACGGGGAGTTTGCACCCGGAAGCTTGCAAATAATGTTTCCAACTATTTGAGTGAGTCAAATAAAAGAGATTGGATTTACCCAAATAACCTGGCTTCATTTGGGAAGCTTTTTCAGAGAAAATATTCATCATTTTCCCACCTGCTTGGCTTCTCCTGGCCTCTCCAACCCGATGAGACAGGGGTGAAGTTTGCCAAATTTTCTATCGTCCCTTCCCTAAAGGCCTGGCTAGAAGCAGATGCATGCAGGAGATGGACACGTGGCCGCGAAGATGGGGTTGTCGGCTGGGCATTGCCTTCTTCGTGTCGAAGGACCGCTGGGGGGAGATGGGGTCCGCCGGACACACAGAGAAGGGCGTCTTCATTTACAGGCTTGCTAATCTAGTAAGGAGGCCTTTACACTAATTTCCCTCAGGGATGGAGAAAAACCCCCAGAGTGAAGAGCCGGGAAACCTGGAAAAAATGAGTCTGGGGGTACAACAGCAAAAGCCTCCAAGAGGGAGGAGCCAGGACAATCGGTGCAGCGTGAGGATACGACTACGGTGCTCCTCAACCCGGGTGTCACAACCTATTTCAAATCGAAATCCATCCCTGCGGTCTTGCTGAGGTCTTCGCAACAGGAAAACTACTCGACTATTTTTCAGTAGGCAAAAAAAAAGAGGGTGGAAACGAAGAGCTGGCACTTTTTAAGGGGGACAACGAGTCTATCCGGGGTCTGAAAAGGCTGACTACAGGGAAGAAACAGGAAAAATTGATGAGCTTAATACAGCCGAGCAATTATGATGAAGCACGGCCTCTGAATCACAACTTCCTGGACCGCCGGTGCTGGAGGCTGCAAGGGGGAGAGGAACGGGGAAAACCCTGGTGAGACCCAGGTCATCTCCCAAGGCCCCGGGCCGGCGGGACCAGGCAAGACGGAGCTTGGGTCCGACCCAGCCAATGGCAAGTCTTGCACTCATACTTGGGATGATGGAGACGTGGTGGGCTAGTTCCCGTGGCCGGAGTACTTCCGTGGCTGGCACAGCTTGTTCAGGAAAGAAACACAGCACAAGCTGCCCACCGAGGTCCTGGATAAGGTGTTGGGGATACGTTTTTTGGTAGGGATGGTAGAAAAGTCAATGGGGGGAGCTCTTCTTGACCAGCTGCTCACAAACAGGCAGGACCAGGTTGGGAATGGGACGGTGGGTGACAGCAACCGGGAACTAACACAGCCCAAGACCCCCTGGGGAGAAAGGAGGGAGAGCAGCAGAATAAAGACACTGGACTTCAGGCTTTGACAAAGGTGGGGAACTGGTGGGCAGGATCTGGGGGGAAAGGAGTCCAGGAGCGCTGGCTCTACTTGAAGGAGGCTGGATTATGGACACAGGCCCAAGCCATCCCAGCGCCAAGGACGGGAACTGCAAGAGGAGGCACGCGAGGCCAGACAGCCATCTCTTCCAGGAGTTGAAACTCCAAAAAAGAAGCCTACGCAAAGCAGAAACATGGTCATAGGAGTAGGAAAGAGTATAAGCACATCACACGGGTGCGCATGGAAGAGTAGGAAAAAGCAGGAAGGCCGAGGCATGCAGCTGGCAAGGGCCATAACAGGCAAGAAAAAGGGACTCTAGAAGTAAGAGGTAGATGAAAGAAACCATCGGTCCCTCATGGCGAGCAGAAGGCAATCTCAGCCTGGCGAGGAGAGACTGAGGGGACACTTGGTGCCCGTCTATAAGTTTGTAAGGGATGAATATCGGGACCTAGGAAGAAAACTAGGGCGCCCCAGGGGAGGACAAGGAGCAATGGCCATAAGCTCCTTGTAAGGATGGTTCAGGTTCGACGTAAGGAAGCATGTCGTTGCGGGAAGGGTGACCCAAACCTGGACTAGACTTCCCGGGGAGGTGGTGCAGTTCCCAGCCTTGGAAGTCTTCAAGAGGAGACTGGACAGACACCTTGCTGGGATCACTTGATCTCGGCAGTCTTCCTGCCCAGAGCAGGGGGCTGGACTCGATGATCTTTCGCAGTCCCCTCCAGCCCTTGATTTCTGTGATAGTTACGGATGATACGAAGAAGGCTGAAGTGTTTAAAGCCTTTTTTACTTCAGTCTTCACAAATAGTGGCAGCTACCAGACGTCGCGTGCAGTTGGCAGCAAAGAGAGGGAAGGAGACAGACGGCCTAGAGCAGCGGAGGAACAGGTGCGGGATTGCTTGGAGAAGCTGGGTGCTCTCAGGCTGGCAGGGCTGGGTGGGACGTGCCCGAGGGGGCTGCAGGAATTGGCTGAGGTAATTTCCGAGCTATTGGCTATCCTCTGAGAGCCTGTGGAGGTCAGATGTGGCCCCGGATGACTGGAAAAGGGCGAATATAGTGCCCAGCTGTGAGAAAGGGGAGAAGGACAATTACAGCCCAGCCAGCCTGACCTCAATACCTGGAAGGATGGTGGAGCAGGGATCCTACAGCGGTGACCCAGGTGACCAGAAACAGCCAGCGTGGCTTCACCAGGAGCAGGTCATGATAAGGTGAGTGGCCTCGTGGATGGGGGGAGCGCGGGAGATGTGATATGGCTTGACTTCAGCAAGGCTTCTGTCACCGTCTCCCACAACGTTCGCAACTCCACCCCTGAAAATGTCCAGGAGCAGGTTGGATGGACGTGGCTGGGTCAGGGGTTGATCCTGCTGGGAGCAGGGCGCTGGATTCGATGACCTCGTGAGGTCCCCTCCAGCCCGGTGCCCCGAAGATCCATGTGAACCTCCTCTGTGTAGCGGAGAGGCCATTTCACCCCGAATTTTCTGGATGAAGAGCTAAGCCTCCTTTCCTCAATTTATACCCACTAACGGCGGTTCTCATTTTCTGCAAAACCTGCCTCAGCCTTTAGCCAAGGTCGTAAGGCTCTAGTTAAAGACGCCCGTGCTGCCTGCGAGCCACCACACTCAGAGACCTGCTCGCTGTCCCTTTGGCATAGTGCAGGAGCAGAAGGTATCCAAAATGGCATTTCAAAGCCCCACATTGTGCATTAAAAGTCATCATCTGGGAGCCAGATTCCAGGTTTATGTACCAAATCGCACAGCTGGCATCCAATGGTGAAATTAAAACCATTTCAGTTGAAGACCAAAGTGCTCAGGACAACCATCCTCGACCTTCGATACCCCAACGACGGCGCCGTCCTTGTGCACGCCGAGGAAAACCTCCAGACCGCGCCGGATCTCCTTGCAGAAGCCTATTGGACATCGGGCCTGTCTCTCGGCAGCGCGTAGACTCGAGTGCCCTAGCACCTGCTCTGGGCCAAGGCCGTGAGCACCCCTCCCTTCCCTCCCCCAGTGACCACCGAGGGGAGGCCCTGCCGGCAGGCGAGACCTCCACAGTCACCTCCCGCAGAGTCAGCCGGTGAGCAAGTGCCTCCTTCAGGAAATTGTTTCGGCATCTCTTTATTCACAGACTCCTAGAAAAACGAAGGTTGGGAGGAACCTCAGGAGGTCACATCGGGTCCAGCCCCTGCTCCAAGCCGGACCAGCCCCAGCCCCAGCTACATCATCCCAGCCCAGGCCTTGTCTACCCGGGGCTTAAACACCTCCAAGGATGGAGACTGCACCACCTGTCTGGGGAGCCTATTTTACTGCCCTCCTTGTAAGAGACATTTTCCTAATATCCAACCTCAACTTCCCTTGCTGCAGCCTGAGCCCATTGCTCCTTGTCCTGTATCTGCCCCCACTGGGAACAGCCCAGCTCCATCCTCTTCTCAGCCCCGCTGCAGGGAGGTGACGGCTGCTATTCAATCCCCTCCGTCTTCTCTTCTGCAGACTAAATCAGCCCAGTTCCCCCAGCCTCTCCTCACCAGTCCTGTCCCCCAGCCCACAATCATTGTCATTGCCCTCCACTGGACTCCCTCCAACGTGTCCACATCCTTTCTGTCGTGGGGGCCACAGCTGGACACAGGACTCCAGATGTGGCCTCCCAGTGCTGAATAGAGGGGAAAGGTGCCAAGTAATCAACAGTAATCTCTGGAAAAGCCAAAGATCCGGGTCTGCAATGCCATTATCACCCCCGCCTTCCTCTATGGATGGGAAACGTGGGTGACCTACCATCGTCATCTCAAGAGCCTGGAGAGGCATCGCCAGCGCGGCCTCCAGGAAATCCTCCACTGCAAATGGGAAGATCACCGCGCAGACGCAGCATCCTCGCTGAAGCAGCGTTACCAGCGTGGCATTGATGATCCTCAAGCACCGGTTTTGCTGGACCCGACCCTGTGTGCAGATGCCCGACTCGACTCCCAGAACAAGCGCTCTCCCCCAGCGCAGCCAAGGCCTGGGATCTCTCGGCATCCGGAGGAAATGCTGCAAGGACACGCTGACGGCCGCCCCGCAGAAAACAGGCGCCGGTCTCAGGAGCTTGGAGGAGCTGACTACTCACCAACGCCAGTGGTGCCGAAACCTCCACCAAGCGGCAGCCCATTTCGAAGCAAAGCATCTTACCCTCGACGGAAAGGGCGAGCGGAGGAAGGAAAAGGAAAAGGAGAGGGATCCCAGACTGCTCCCCCGTGCGGAAAGACCTGCGACTTCTGCAGACGGGTTTGCAGCTCCAGCATTGGATTCTGAAGCCACCTCGAGGCCCGTCCACGAGCCGTGGTAGAAATTGTCCTCACACCCAGGGTCGCTCACATGCCGAAGATGATTTAGGCGTTGGGGAGCTCACGTGCCTCTCTGGTCACGGTTTCCTCCGGACAAGGTCCTGTTTGATGCCATTAGTGAGGTGCTAAGGCTTCAAATCGCTCTTACAAAACCAGCGACAAAAACGTTTAATCAAAATGGCAGGAATTTCTCAGAATCGTGCCGTCCCGCAGCCACGGGTGACCCCAGGGAGCTCCCCCCGTCCCCGATGGGGGTACGGGCACGATCACAGCACTGCCAGTCCCAAGAGCCTCGAGGCTGAATTCGGGACCCCTCGAATGCACGGTCCAACAACACGCGGTAGATATTGCTGGAGAAAGAAGCTGGTGTAGGTCTCCCTGGACTTAATTAATACAACCGGTAATCAGCACATATGCAAATCACACAGAGGCCCAGCTAGCAGCCAGGACTGACACAGACTTCACCCAACGTCGTCTAGGCTGCAAGGACCGGGGGCGTCCAACGAAGACCCCGTGCACAGAGGCCAACGCAAGCCCGGGCTCTCCTGTCATTTGGCTTTGTCCGTGCCTACTTCGTTCCTGGACCTCAGGGGCATCGGTGCCCGAAAAGTCATCTTCTCCTAGAACCAAGTCTGCCTCGGCGCCCACCACTGCCACGCGGGGGGTCTGCCAGACGGCCGCGCCAGGGGCTGCGTCGCGTGGTGACGGGCTGGAGTCGGCCCACGAGGTGTTGGGACCAGCCCGTGGCCTGGGGGCAGCAGCAGCTCAGTGCGTTCCCAGCTGTGCCCGAGCCCTGCCTGCCCTACGCCCTTGCCCCAGATTTGCCCCCGCTGCAGGGGAAAGCAAAACCCCGCAGTCCGCACCAGTGTGAGCCTGGGGGAAATCCCGTCCTGCCCCAGTGCAGTGTGTGGGGCTGAGCCCGAGCGCGGGGGCAAGACCCTCCAGCCAGGACCCTGCGGGGTCGGTGCCAGCAGGAGCATTGGCACAGCCCAGCCCCAGCCCCAGCCTTTAAGTGCCTACCCTGTCTCCCTGGGCAAGTCACTGCATTGCTCCGTGCCTCAGTTTCCCTCACTGCACAAGGGGCTTTGGCAGTGCTGGGCACCTGCAGCCTTGGAGCCTGGGGAAGGGAAAGGGAAAGGGAAGAGCAAGGCAGTGTTGCCCTGAGGGCTCAGGGGGCTCCCTGGGGCTGAGCTGGCTCCCAGCATGCACCTGGCACCCAATGTGGGGGGCTGGCCTCTGCTCCCCCCAGCAGCTCACATCTGTCAGACTTGACCTGCCCTTCACCCGCAGGACTTGAGAGGACACAACCCCCCAGCCGTGCGGTGCCCCTCGCTCCCGACCCGCAGCCCCTGCCCCCCCAGCCTTCTCAGAGCCCGGCACCCGGTCGCCCCAGGGCCCCTGGAGCCCCCCATCCCCCCGCCTGCCACAGGCACCGTCAGGGGAGCTGCTGGGGCCTTTGATGGGGGCACAAAGACAGAGCTCGGGGACCCGTCCAGCCTCGCAGCGCCCAGACTCTCCCATGCCCCGAGCAGTGGATCCACCGTGCCAGCTCCAGGCTGAACCTAGAGCAGCAGACTCCAGCTCCCGGGGGCTGCGATGCGTATGGGGGAGGCTTAAACCCCTCAACACATGGAGCAGAAAGGGGAGAAGGGGGCAACCGGCACAGCCCAGGGGCCTGGGACACCCCACGGCACAGCACGGGCATCGCTGCACCTAGAGCTCCCCCCACCAGTGCCCGTCCACCCTCTGGAGATGCCCAGGGAGGTCTCGGTGCCTGGGGGTGAGAGGTCAATGTGCAAGGCCTGCATGCTTGCACACACCCATGCACACGCCGGCTGCCCTCTCCAGGCTGCCAGGGCCCGCTCGGCTCGCAGGGCCTTGCCTTGTCCTCCAGCTCCCTCTGCTGCCGCTTTCTGGAGGAGACGGTGGCTGCCGGAGGCCTGGAGCCTCGGCCCTGCCCTGCCCGGGGGTCTCTGGGCTCCCTGCTGAGGCGTCTCAGGGCTGGACCTGCAGCCCCCTACCACAGCACCTCACTCCCGACCCACAGCCCCTTCCCCCCAGAGCTGCCGGTGCCCCTCGCTCCTGACCCGCAGCCCCACATCGCACAGCAGCAGGGGAAGTGTGCAGGGCCCTGCAGCTGGGACCCCAGGGGCACAAACCAGGCCCTGCAGGGGGAGGAGGCTGCAATGAACCCCCGGAGCCGCCCAGGGTCAGGAGCAGGGGGGGTCCCTCCAAGCTGGGGAACTGGGTGAAACCCTCCGGCAGGCGGAGAAAGGCTCTGGGGATGTCCCCACCAACGAGGGCCACGGCCCCACCGCTCCTCTCCCTGCTCCTGGAATCCAAAGCTAGGAGCCCCGGGCTTGAGAAGGATCCCCCTGACTGTCGTGTGCCTGTCCCAGGCCTGACCCTATTCAGGCTAAAGACCCTCTTGTAGCTCCCCTCATGCAGGGACCGAGGTCCGTGGCCCCAGGCCGGACTCATCGCTCACGAGGGTCCCAGGACGCTGCCGTCTTCTTAGACCAGCCAGGCCCTGGTGCTGGATGCAGGTCCAGGGCATCCCACTGCCTCCCCCGTGCCCAGACATGGCCACTATTAGCCCCATCAGGCTCTTCGGGACAGCCTCGCTGCTGAGACCGGTGCCGGGAGAAGGCCGTACAGCTCCGAGCACGGCCAGGAGCAGAAAGGGATGAGGGCAACCAGCACAGCCCAGGGTCCTGGGACACCCCACGGCAGAGCACGGGCATTGATGTGCCTGGAGCAGCCCCCACCAGTGCCCGTCCTGCCTCTCCTTGAACCCCTGGTGTGGGAGTCTCCCTGCTCCCAATCTCTCTCCCTCTATTCCTGATTCCTGCTCATTGCATTTCCTTGCAGCTCGTGCATGGGTGCAAACACCAAATGCACCAGGACTAAGAACACGTCTCTTCGGGACCACGCTAGAAACACCCCAGCGCCCAGCAGTGCCCGTGTCCTGTGGCGCTGTGCAGGCCTCTCACTGGACACGCCCGGCTGGTATCAGTCCCAGGCTGGGTGTCGCGTGGTGTGGACTCACCCGCCTCCCACCAGCCGGAGCTCCAGGCCACAGCCCTATCGCCCACACTGACCACTCGGGGAATCTCATCCCGCAGGAGGCACCGGTTACCAGGACACGACCTGCTCCCAACACATCCATGTGATGACCGTCCTTCAAGGCTTTATTGATGGAGGCCTGGCTCAGAAGCGATGTTGAGCTGATAGGTCTACAAAGCCCTGAGCCCGCCTTGGTGTGTCCTTCACTGTCTTCCAGTGCTCGACTTCCTCGAAATCACCGTCCAGGTGCAGAGAACAGCTCGCCCTGGGCTTTGGAAACCACGGGATGCATCGTGTCTAGACCCGCAGCTGTACAAACACTTGCCTACTGCAGCGGGTAGGGATGGAGTGGAAAACACATCGTCACAGCACAGAGCCATGACCCGGCCTCCCCCAAACACAGAACGTTTTGGGGGGGAGGCTGGGTCACATCCCTCTTCCTTGTCCACGTCCTTATGGACCAGGTTCCCATGTCCACCTGGGTCCATTCCCACGTCATTGCTCAACTTCCTTCTCTCTGATACACTCAAGACAGCATCTCTCCAACGCAGGATCTCGTTTGGATATTATATCCTATAGCTGCCAAGGGATGACACGATCGAATGGTCACAAACTCTGCCGTGACCGATTCAGGCTGGACTTATTTGACCTGGAGGGCTGTGGGCCGTGGGGTCCCCCAGGGCTCGGTCCTCGGGCCCGCACTGTTCAACATCTTCATCAGCGACTTGGACGAGGGGGTGAAAAGCACGCTGTCCAAGTTTGCTGACGACACTAAGATGTGGGGAGAAGTGGGCACGCTAGACGGGAGGGACAGGCTGCAATCGGACCTGGACAGGTTGCAGGGGCGGGCGGATGAGAACAGAATGGGTTCAGCACTGACAAGTGCAAGGTGCTGCACCTGGGGAGGAAGACCCAGCAGCAGACCTACAGGCTGGGGACCTCCCTTCTCGTCAGTGCAGAGGCAGAACAGGATCTTGGGGTCATTATTGATGCCACAATGAACATGGGCCGACAGTGTGGGGACGCGATCAGGAAG